ATAAGTTCTCGGATCATGAATCCGATTCCCAGTGCCACTTGAATCTTGTGTTCTTGGATGAGCGCTGCTGCTTCGTCAAGGTCGTATTTGGGCATGAGGCAGATCTTGGTTCCTCTGCCCATGCTGGGTACAAGACCGGATTGAATGCCGGTAGAGTGGAAGAGAGGGATCATGAAAATGGTTGAGGATTGTTCGTCGTCGGGTCTCGGAGTAGGCGGAGCCATACCTCTGCGAACGTAAGCTCGAGCGAGGCTGTAACCGGAATTGGGACCTGCAGACAAGAACTGCCTCTGGGTAGCAGCGACACCTTTTGGCTTGCCTGTAGTTCCCGAAGTGTACAGCACCGAAGCCAAATCCTCTGGTTCAATGTCGATCTTTGGGATCGCACCTGCTCCCTGAGCAACAGATTGGTACTTGCGATCCAGCTCGTGAGCGTCAAACACTTTCTTTCCTCCCCTTCCACCAGCCCACTCTCTCTCCTTCTCGGGCAGGATACCCGCGAAAGCACGAGGGAAGACAGCAACGCCGCTCAAACCGCCATGTGCACCAGGCACACAATCAAAGTCATCCACGCAGTCTGGACCAGCAGGCCCAAACAGCTTCTCGATAAAGTTCGTCTCTGCATCCCTCAGTCGTCTGAATCGCTCGACATCGAACAGGGCAGCTTTGCATCCGACATCGCGAATGCAGTCATAGATGGCTTGACCGGGTAGGAAGGCATTTGCGAGTGCAGGAACCGCTCCGAGAAGGTGTACGGCGAGGAAGGAGATGACGAATTCGACGTGGTTGCGTCCAACAATGGCTACTCGATCTCCTTTCTGGATGTTGAAGTGGCGAGAAAGCCATGTAGCGGTGAGATGGGCACGTTTGGCAACATCACCGTAGGTATGAGTCTCGCCTTCGGCTACGATGAAAGGTTTTGATGCGTTTGTCTACCAGGTCGCAGAATGGGAGGAGGTCGATGTCAGTTAAGGATGGCCGACGATACTATGGATGAGCGGAGGTAGGACTGAACTTACTATGGAGGACAAGAGCCAAAGATCGCGAACGGATTTGGGAAGTTGTTTCCAAACAGTGGTGAGTCTACCGTGGATGAATCGCACTTCGGTCTCGAGAAAGCTTCCCTTGGCGGTGAGAAGCTGGTCTACTTTCTCAAAAGGGATTAGCGTATCTTTATCGCCCTTGAAGTCTTCGGTCATGGATCGCTTGGCAGTTGGACCTTGAGGCGCGGTGGGAGAAGATGTGTTCAGCGAGCTCATCTTGTCCAAACCAATCTTCGATGGGACGGGGTCTGTAGGTAGGAAAATGAAGATTAAGCTTTGCAAACTCCGGCTGTTCCTATCCTATAACAAGGAGTTGAGGCGACGTCGAATGAGAAGATCTACGGTCAGGCAAGTAGGATGTGGGTGGGGTGAGAAGGGGAGAACATTATAACGGGCGTCTCAATCGTTTGTCAGGAGGGATTAGCATAGAGCACACGCAAGCAAATCTGGACGGGCGGACTCCTCGGTCGAGCAGTGCTTGGAACACAGGAAAGGATCGTCGGGAACACGGACAGCGGTTCATCCGGTAGTTGAGCAGACGATCCAAGACACAGCCAGGAGCAGTCATTATTGTCGTACAAAGGACGAGAGGGTTAGGAGAGCGGAGGAAGCATTACCGGTTGACCGGTCGACTGCAGAAGCGGTGGAGGGGAGGCAGTCGAAGGGGGTGGCTTGCCGCGCAAACAAGACCAAGGCCAAACCACGGGCTCAGTGCTTCCAACGCAAGCCGGGGATCTGTTCCTCGTTCTCTTTGCTCGGCAGAACCACTTTTCCAATGGAAGCCTTGCCTCGTGATGAGATGAAGGCGGAGCCTGCAGTGTTGTGTGCTGTGTTGAAAATGCGGCGGAATTTGCGGGGGAAAATCGGCAGAATTGCAGAGGCCGTGGAATTCACAATTGCGGGGGAGAAAAGGAAGCGCAGAAGAAGCGAGCAGCAAAGCAACGGTCTCTCTATTCACCGGCATTCGGCTTTCGACCGGCCGAACAAGCTGACCGGCACGTACGACATTGGACGCTACGCCACGACCAGGAGAGCGTCCAAGCTGGCACACACTACCCACAGCATCACCCTTAGGGTTAAGGCGAGCTAGTCGTCAGGACCGAGCGAGCAAACCACATCATTTCTGCTCTTCGGCTTGCTCTGCAGCACAGCGAGCAAGTGCTGGACACGCAAACATCTTCGGAACGAACTAAGCGCTTCGCCTATCGAGCTAGCGGGACAGCAAGTAGCGCCCCGATGCTGCTTTTCTGGAGCGGTGCCACTTTAGATGGGGTCCACCCGTTCGACCAGCTTTGTGTCAAGCAGGTCTCGTGAGCACCGTTGTGTCCGTGGCAGAGACGTATCGATCGCACACACGCAGAGATTCATCGCAGGCAAGCTGCCCGGCTGGAGGTTGGTTGGAGAATAGTATTAGACGCAGCAAGAGAAGGGCAGGAAGGATATCCCGTAGCTGATAAGGAGTGTGAGTGTGAAAAGAGTGTGGTGTTGGAAAATGGAAGAGTCTGCAATCTTCGCTGCACAATCAAAGTGCAGCGAGAGCCGCACTGACGGGTGGTCGCGTCGGCAGGGTATCCAAAAAGAGTGTGTAAGGATGTTTAGGCATCGGTGTTCGGACCTGAGCGGATGATGCGCTATGGTCAACGAATTCTTATGATGTCAGAGAAAGGGTCTGTGTTCGCCGCCAATCGGCCTACAAGATGGTCGGATGGGAGTTTAGATAGCAATGACCTCGCTATCGTTGATCAAAGGTCCACTTTCACACATTCCGATCTGGTTTCCACTGCCATCCTTGTTACAGATGTGCTGTGCATCTCCCATCAATCCAGGCAAGTCAATCTGAGGCAAGTTGACGATGTTCAACATCGGAAGCGATCCCGTTGGCAGCGGCAAAGCAGGCAACTTCAGGATCGATGTGACACCACCAACTACACTCGTCACCTCATGCAGCACGCCCGTTGGGTTGGGCATTGCGCTCATCAAGATCGAGAGTAGTTTGATGACACCATCAGTTTTCAAGGTGGGTGTGGCCGGTGTGGAAGTCTTTGTGCACTCTTTGCCATCCTCGGTGGTGATGTATACGACCGGTGTAGGGGTAGCAGCGGCAGTAGCAGCGATGGCGGACGAGTAAATGCTATGGATATCTTGAAGGTTGTGCATAAGAATTGAGGGGAAGGCATTCAATGCGCTTTCGGCGAGTTTGGCCAAAACGTCGACCTCGGGTGGTGGAGTGGGAACAGAGACCGAAAGTGCCATAGTGACGTCTGGGATCAAGTCGCCGACGATGGCAGGGACGGTGGGAGAAGGAATCATGGTCGCGATGACTTGGGTCACGCCATCGACGACTTGGGTGGCCATGCTTTGGATTTCGCCCACGAGGGCTGGAATGCTTGAGGTGGGGACGAGCTGGTCGAGATCGAGCTGAGGGATGGTGGGCGAAGCATCCATCGACAAGGCCAGGGCACTGTTGCATCATATGCATAGTAAGAAGGATCAGAGGTGAGTAATCACTATGAGAGGGACCTTGTTGACGTTCGTGATGCCAGCTGATTGTGTCGCGTGCTTACAGTCGTTTGTTGAGTGGCACAGCTGATGTACTCGAGATGGCCAGGACGGCCACCATGGCTGTCGCCGAGCTTGCAAGGATGGTGCTCTTCATGTCTCGCGATTGTTTTCTTAATTGAAGCTGTGACGAGGAAAGAGGAAGCACGGTGGCTCGTGTGATGTGTCGGCAGCTGATGTTGAAGACGTAGCGAGACGACAGAAAAGATGGAGGTAGGGAGCGTGACGGGGAGATGGGAAGGGGGAAAGGGGAGGGGGAGATAAGAGGGCTGCATTGTTGACATCTCCTGGATAGTCCGCCTCTTTTATTGAACGGCATAGGTGTCTCCTTACCCTTTGCTCCTGGTATACTTATGTGTTTGGAAAGCGGGCGGTCAACGCAGCATCTTGGACGGGATGTTTGGTCTTCGACACGACTGGTGGAGTCCAAAGCCGCCGGGGCTTGTTCCCGTGTCGACGTTAAGTGAATCAATGCGACGGCGACAGATGTGGCTTGTTTGCTCGAGCGCGGCTTATGCGAGCCTTTCTCCTCCGTCTTGGAGCACCGGATACAGCTTGAGTTTCTTCAGCAGCTGTCTCTGTATCGGGACGAAGGCAGCGAAATATCTATTCCGCAAGATGCGAGACTCACTCTTGACTTGAAACGCCGTAGATTGGCGGAGGATAGATGCTCTCTTTAGATCCCCGCAAGCGACTTGCAGAGCATTGGTATGAGATCGCGATCTTCGAGTTCGGCCTAGAAGAGAATGTTAGACGGACTCGCTCGCAGTTATTGTCCTTCCTGTGTGGTTGGCCACAGCATCGTTCGTCTCGCTTGTAAGGAAGAACATGAGGATGCCCGCGATGGCCATCCAAATTAGACAGATGCAACCATTTCACACTGCAAGCAGAGGAAGAGAGCGGAAGATTAGAAGCATATTGACAATCAAACGGACATACGAGGAGAGTATGGAGCACAAAGGTCGACACATGTCACAAATATAGCTGAGAGAGTGATACAGTAACCATAGAAGGCAAAGAACGGGTTTTGGCGCAGTTTGACATTCCTCGAATGTTGGCGTTCTGCACGCGTTTGACAGCCACAACGAGGAGCCGATTTCATTCTCTCATCGGGTTCTCGTCTCGACATCGGGTTCAGTTGAGCCACGCTCGCTCGTAGGAGGTTAGAGCGTCTGTTGAGAGCACGCATGTACTCATCTGACACAGATTGATATCTCAGTGCGTATCACATTTGTCCGTAGTCATCGAACGACGGAGAAGCAGCGTTGACACGAGTGAGGAGCCGAAGAGGTAAGCAAGTGTTGTCAATCACAAATTGTTCTTAATCTCGAACCCAAACCGGAAAGCAAAAAGGGGGCTGCAAAAAGCAGAGGAAGAGGATGACGAAATTGAAAAAAGGGGGCCAACCCGGAATCGAACCGGGGACCTCTGTCAACTTAGAATTGAGGGAGTAGAAACACAACGCGGGATCCCTATTAGATATCCCTATACCCTAAGACAGCATAATAAGCCACTATACGATTGGCCCTTTAACTGTAAGACCGGTTTTACATTGAACATATAGATATAGTCAATATTGAGATCCGTAAAGCTCCAATGCAAAACGAAAGGATAAATAAAAGAAAAAAAAAACAAAAAAATTGAAAAAAAGAAAGACCTCGATCCCAGCCAGAGGATAAGTTTGGGAACATGCGGAGGCTTGGACACCTGCACTCTACTGCACTGCTGTTCCGACAGGTGGCATGAACAACCCGAGGTCTTGCTCGCAGTGTTCCGGCATCGTTGGCATCGTTGTGCATGTGCTACGACGGATACTAGGGCTATGCAAAGTCAGAAAAGATTTCCAATCACTTGCACAGTCTGAGAAGACAACACTACTGTATGGTCACAGAGAAGGGGCTAAGGTAAAGAAGCGATGCGCTGCACAACGATGACTGAGACTGAGATAGTGAGCCGAGCCTGCATCAGGAGCGTTGACTGCTCGCCAGCAATAATCGCTGTCGCCGTCGGATTACTGTTAGAGACGGCTATCAGAGACATGCTCCGGTACAGTTCAGTAGACGAGGCCACTACATACAAACAAGGTGAAGCTGCATATCCGACCGACCAATCGTCTTGATGCTGCTTCGACTCGGCTGGAGAAGAGTGTGTGGCGGAGACACTGACTGTTGAGTTTCGGGCGAGGCGCGCGAGACTGAAACATCTGATACCGATTGCACTTCACAGCGAGATTGACAAAGCGAGACTGAAGCTGCTGGTGGACGGCAGAAAGTATCGTTGGATGTCAAGAAGTGGTCTCACGATGACAAGATTCATTGGCGACACGCTAAGGCGACCGTCATACAGGAGCACGACACAGCACTGCGCTCGTCCGGAGCAAGCAATGAGCATCGAAAGACCCGGGGTTAGGCAAGAGAGAAAAAAGGGGATGATCTGTGTTCATGCTTTCATGGCCTAGCGATCTCTGCTGTTTGCGCGAGAAGGACATTGGCTGACGAATGTGACAGGGCCTTGGTGGCTGTCTCCTGTCGACGTGCGAATCGAGAGCTGCTTGTTTGCCATGCCGTGTCATGCCACGCTGCAGCTGCTGATGTTGCCGCGGCCTCTGCTGCCGCCACTGCTCTTGCTGCTTCAATTCTGCTGTCAGTATTCTGTCAAGCTCTTGCCTGACAGTAATCTGAGACAAAAAGTACCGCGTGGATGGGAAGGAGAAAGAGGGGAGAGATGGAGAAGGAGAACCCAAAATTGGGGTGGTGGCTGAGCACCAAAATATTTTCTGGTTCAGAAGGGTTTCGAGATCATTGGGTTAATGGTCTCGCTTAAGCGCTAGTCCGCATGCTACTGTGCATTCATCTTTTGGCGCTCACATATGAGCGATAACGGGATGAGGAGACTAGCGGCTTTTCTTCATTTTAGGCTGCTTCTTGCAGCCACACAAAGAAGGGAGCGGCTGCGCTTCCGACGATAGACCGAGATGTGCTCCCACGACCCACCTCATCACGTCGATGCGGACCTGGACACTGTGGGAAGTACCGACGAAGACTGTGAGGGAAGGAAAGATCTCCGAGATGGCTCCAATGGTGTCTCGCTTAGCGTCGGATTTATCTATCAATCCAGTTTGTCTATCTTTCTCCCACCTCTGCTCCCACTTCATAGTCTTCACACGTCGGTCCGATTTTGCTTTGCTAGGTGACTCTGCTATTGTGCTATATTGTGGAACAGGATGTCTCGCCCGACCGGCGACGTCTCAACAAGTGACACGGATTAAGATGTTGGCGCTACCAAATGGATGTGTCTTGGCTTGGAAAGATGTCTCGTTGTCTTTCGCAGCGGTCATCACGGTGACACGCGCTCCGATGCATTCGCCACTTGGCCTGTCTTGTACGCACAGACTGCACTATATCGAGTGCATCATGCACTTTGCGGCCTGTGGTGTGGAGAGCATCCGAAGATGCGGATACTGTGCAGTACGCGGGATCTCGAAAGGCTGAACGGATTGACATCGAGGGGAACGAACGGCGCCGAAGCCGAGCGAGCTTTGGTGTCACCGCTGCGTTGGCGTCTGCCACATCTCGCAGTGAGAGGTCCATGCCGTTGGTTGGCAGTGATAAGTTAGCGTTGATCCGTCACGCACGACCGGCCGGCCGGTCCGGTTATGCTCGCCTGTCGCGGATCCCGAAGCAAGCCGGCATTAGTGTGTGTCGTCAAGGAAGCTAGCAAATATTTCCGCCTTGACATGGCACCGAGACGCCTCCGAACAAGTAAGAGTGGTAGACTTACTTCTGGCGAAGCTTGATGGGCCGATCCTCGCTCGATATTAGGTAGACAGGCAAGGGGGCTTGGCCGAATGAGAACTCAGTGACACTGTCTTCGGCGCTTTCACACTGCAGACTCTTGAATTGGACTAAATCTAGTTGAGAGTTGTCAGTGCGACTGTAGCAGCAGACAAGGACACGCCGAGTCTCCAATCGCCTCGTCGCGGGTCCAAAGAAGAGGTAAGCATGCTAATTGGATGGTTGGTTGGCGACAACGCAACACAAACTTTATTGCAACCCATCTAGGCTGCCTGAGAGCGACAACCAACGCGGTCCAGAACTTTGAGACAATGACAAGAGTTGTGCGAAATCGGAAGAGCAGTGTCCGCTTGTGCTTTTTTCTCACGACGACGACGTGGTTGACAGGGATACCGACAGGCGGCGCCAACGTCGACGCTTATCTGACCGGATCTTTGCGACCGACTCTCAGCTGTAAAGATTGATGATGGACTAACCCTTCGACATTCGAATCATGGAAGAAGGGGCTCTCTCTTTACTGATTCGGACCTCGTCTAATCGCAAGCGAGCTGCAACTGCAACTTGCTGCAGTTCAAGAAGCAGCAGCTGAGCTCGATTCAAACGCTCCACCAAGCGATTCAAAAATAAGAAAATGGGTGAGATGGAAGACAAGCGAAGGACAAGACTTCGGCTCAACAAGATTTGGCAGAACAATCTTTTCGCCTATGTATTACGATGCTTTTTGTTTCTAAGCTCGCTTTGGGCTGCCTGAGCAGTATCTTGCTAACCGTCCCTCTGTTCGAAGTTGAGCTGCACCTCCCCTAATCGGTGGGAATAAAGTTGCCTTTTTCACTTCTCGTTGTATCGGTATCACATGAGCCAAAGGAAGAGCAGCAAGGTCTCAGTTGCCATGCTACACAGTGGGGGAACGGGTATGCTTTATCGCACCTCCTTCCTCCGTCAACGGTGGGCATACAGTTGCCTGTAACGCAAAAGGAGTACCAGGCAACGAAACACTACTCAGAGAGCGACAGCGACACTGCTCGACGCTGTTCGTCATCAACATTGTCCGAGTCTAAAAGAGAGCTGCAGCCATCGAAGAGGTGTTCCGAGATTGCGTTTGAAGGAGGAAGGTGAGAGAGTGAAAAAAGAATTCTTCGTAAAAAATAATAATAAATAAATAAATAAAAAAGCTTCCGTGTCAGTGTGTGTCAGTGAACAGAAGAAGACGACCTTTTTCCTGATCTTCCTCTCTTGGCTCTGCACTTTCGCGTGACACGGATGTGTGTGTGGGCAACTCTGCTTCCTGCACTCTGCAACTGCGCACAGAACACAACACACCTACACACGCACACACGTCTATAGCGACACCCCCTCTCTGCGTTTCTCTTCCGAAGGCTCCCTTTCTCTTCACCTGCTGTGACTCTCATCAGTCGGATTGCTTCCGCATGGTCCCTTGACAGGTTCGCATTTATTTTTATTTTTATTTTTTTCTTCTTTTTCTTTTCCTGTTCGGGCCTTCCGAGGAAAAGCGGTTATTACTTGTCTTAGTGCTTTCATAGGCCCATTCATTTGCTGCGTGCCAACCATCATCATCATCCCCACACTTGACCCACACTTGCTTCCTTATCGACGTCGTGGCTTGGCTGTCAATCACCTCATCATTCTCCTCGCGTTCTCACGCCCACCCTTTACGCTATTTCGATAACACAGTCGAGAAAGCCGCATCTTCGGATCTGCCGCCTTTCATTCCATGGATATATTTCAAGGTGCAAAGCACGCTAGCCACCATTTGATCCTCTCATTTCGCTCATTGCACTGCACTCGACGGTGGAACAGACTTCTTTATCCGGCACAGTTCATCAAAGTCACACGCCACCTCAAGCTGTTTCGTCGGATTGCAATGCGCCTCTGAAACAGCTCGAATCACAGCAATCACAGCAATCACCAACGACGGCGACGGCGACGGAACGCACGACCGGAACAATAACGAGCAAGCTGATGCTGACCGGTTCTTCCTCTTTGGCACTCTCAGCTAGACTGCGCACGCTCATCTTCGCTTGAGCTTTTGTCAGACAACACTTCAGTCTTAGCAGCGCTGCTTCGGCTCAGGTATCGCCCAGAATGCATCCTTCAATCGCAAACCTTTCCTCGCGCCTTCACCTCTGTTCAGGTGATGTGCCGCCACCACTCGTGGGCGCATCGGCAACGCTGGTCGAGCCAACGCCCAATGGTAACATCAGAGGTGCTCGTATCTACCTCTTCGGCGGTCGTCTCGTCAGCAGTCGTCGAATGGTCAACAATCTTTACTTTCTCGATCTCGATGAGATGAAATGGTCCCGAATTAATCCAACCGCAAAGCCTCGGCCTGGCTCTGATATCGGTGCAACAGAACAGCCCCAACCACGCTACTTTCATTCGGCAGATCTATGGCAAGATAAGATTGTCTTCTTTGGTGGCATGGGCTACTCCCAACGAATAGACGAAAAGACAGGCGAGCCAGTCGCTGAAGAGCTTTGCCTGCTCGATGAGCTGCTTGCTTTTGACCTCACCACTCAGCAGTGGGACTACATCTTTCACCTCGTCCCGCATCCTTCGCCGTCGACACCGCACAGTGACCCGGCTTCCACCTCTCAAGCCGACACGCTACGACCAGCACCTCGATACGCTCATCTCTCCTCTCTCTCTGGCGATACGCTTTCAATCATAGGCGGACAGAACCTTGCCAACCAGTACGTCGAGTCCATCAACCTCT